CAGAACTAGAACAGAACAGAACTAGAACAGAACTAGAACAGAACTAGAACAGAACTAGAACAGAACTAGAACAGAACTAGAACAGAACTAGAACAGAACTGAACAGAACTAGAACAAGAACTAGAACAAGAACTAGAACAGAACTGAACAGAACTAGAACAGAAACAGAACTCGAACAGAACTAGAACATAACTAGAACAGAACTAGACATGAACCGAACTAGAACAGAACTAGAACAGAACTAGAACAGAACTAGAACAGAACTAGAACAGAACTAGATACAGAACTAGAACAGAACTAGAACAGACAGAACTAGAACAGAACTAGAACAGAACTAGGAAACTAGAACAGACTAGACAGAACAGAACTAGAACCGAACTAGAACAGAACTAGAACAGAACTAAAAACAGAACTAGAACAGAACTAGAACAGAACTAGAACAGAACTAGAACAGAACTAGAACAGAACTAGAACAGAACTAGAACATAACTAGAACAGAACTAGAACAGAACTAGAACAGAACTAGAACAGACTAGAACAGAACTAGAATAGACCTAGAACTAGAACAGAACTAGAAACAGAACTAGAACAGAACTAAAACAGAACTAGAACAGAACTAGAACAGAACTAGAACAGAACTAGAACAGAACTAGAACAGAACTAGAACAGAACTAGAACAGAACTAGAACAGAACTAGAACAGAACTAGAACAGAACTAGAACAGAACTAGAACAGATCTAGATCAGAACTAGAACAGAACTAGAACAGAACAGAACTAGAACAGAACTAGAACAGAACTAGAACAGAACTAGAACAGAACTAGAACAGAACTAGAACAGAACTAGAACAGAACTAGAACAAAACTAGAACAGAACAGAACTAGAACAGAACTAGAACAGAACAGAACTAGAACAGAACTAGAACAGAACTAAAACAGAACTAGAACAGAACTAGAACAGAACTAGAACCGAACTAGAACAGAACTAGAACAGAACTAGAACAGAACTAGAACAGAACTAGAACAGAACTAGAACAGAACTAGAACAGAACTGAACAGAACTAGAACAGAACTAGAACAGAACTAGAACAGAACTAGACAGAACTAGAAAAGAACTAGAACAGAACTAGAACAGAACTAGAACAGAACTAGAACAGAACTAGAACAGAACTAGAACAGAACTAGAACAGAACTAGAACAGAACTAGAACAGAACTAGAACAGAACTAGAACAGAACTAGAACAGAACTAGAACAGAACTAGAACAGAACTAGAACAGAACTAGAACAGAACTAGAACAGAACTAGAACAGAACTAGAACAGAACTAGAACAGAACTAGAACAGAACTAGAAAGACTAGAACATAACAGAACAGAAACTAGAACAGAACTAGAACAGAACTAGAACAGAACTAGAACAGAACTAGAACAGAACTAGAACAGAACTAGAACAGAACTAGAACAGAACTAGAACAGAACTAGAACAGAACTAGAACAGAACTAGAACAGAACTAGAACAGAACTAGAACAGAACTAGAAACTAGAACAGAACTAGAACAGAACTAGAACAGAACTAGAACAGAACTAGAACAGAACTAGAACAGAACTAGAACAGAACAGAACAGAACTAGAACAGAACTAGAACAGAACTAGAACAGAACTAGAACAGAACTAGAACAGAACTAGAACAGAACTAGAACAGAACTAGAACAGAACTAGAACAGAACTAGAACAGAACTAGAACAGAACTAGAACAGAAACTAGAACAGAACTAGAACAGAACTAGAACAGAACTAGAACAGAACAGAACTAGAACAGAACTAGAATAGAACTAGAACAGAACTAGAACAGAACTAGAACAGAACTAGAACAGAACTAGAATAGAACTAGAACAGAACTAGAACAGAACTAGAACAGAACTATAACAAACTTCACATTTCATAATATCCATATTGTTGAACTCACCTATATCCCTTTTCAACTTATTCGTTGCCATTTCTTCTTCATTACTTGCCACCTCCATTACTTCTTCCGATGACGACGTATCTTCCTCCTCTTCTATTGGCATGGCACCCTTCATAACGGGCAAAAATTCCTGAGTAAATTTTTCTTTCCATTTGTTTCATTTTTTGCAAAACATCAGCACTTTTGTGCCACAATGGTAAACCTTGAAGACCTTGAATATTTTCGTGTGGTTGATTTTGTATGTGGCCAAATCCAGTGGTCAATAGAAATATGACTACAAATATTTTTGGTGTCATATTTATGGCTTTTCTTTGGCCTTGCGTTTTTTTCTCTTATTATGTTTATTTTAGCTGACCTAATTAATTAATAATTTTTTTTCAGTACATAATTTGTTTTATATACTAAAGTCATGGTAGCTTGAAATAATCGTTTGTTATTAAACATTCTTAAGAATTGCAAAGAAACGTGTTAAAAGACGGTTTCTCTACTTAAAGGCCGATAAGGTTAATGACATGACAATCAATTTATGTTCGAAGTTCGAACATATTTCATTTTTTAATTAAGTAAATAAAACATTTATGTGTTGTTAATTGCAATCGTTTAAGAAATTTATTGATTGTAATTTGTAAAGTAAGTTATAGAATTTATGCAATAATTTGCGATTTTGCTAGTGGGAGATTAAAGTAGTTTATCTCTAGATAATAATGTAGTTTTTAAATATAAATGCTGGTTAATTAGTTAGTTAGTTAGTTAGTTAGTTAGTTAGTTAGTTAGTTAGTAGTTAGTTAGTTAGTTAGTTAGTTAGTTAGTTAGTTAGTTAGTTAGTTAGTTAGTTAGTTAGTTAGTTAGTTAGTTAGTTAGTTAGTTAGTTAGTTAGTTAGTTAGTTAGTTAGTTAGTTAGTTAGTTAGTTAGTTAGTTAGTTAGTTAGTTAGTTAGTTAGTTAGTTAGTTAGTTAGTTAGTTAGTAGTTAGTTAGTTAGTTAGTTAGTAGTTAGTTAGTTAGTTAGTTAGTTAGTTAGTTAGTTAGTTAGTTAGTTAGTTAGTTAGTTAGTTAGTAGTTAGTTAGTTAGTTAGTTAGTTAGTTAGTTAGTTAGTTAGTTAGTTAGTTAGTTAGTTAGTTAGTTAGTTAGTTAGTTAGTTAGTTAGTTAGTTAGTTAGTTAGTTAGTTAGTAGTTAGTTAGTTAGTAGTTAGTTAGTTAGTTTAGTTAGTTAGTTAGTTAGTTAGTTAGTTAGTTAGTTAGTTAGTACTTAGTTAGTTAGTTAGTTAGTTAGTTAGTTAGTTAGTTAGTTAGTTAGTTAGTTAGTTAGTTAGTTAGTTAGTTAGTTAGTTAGTTAGTTAGTTAGGTTAGTTAGTTAGTAGTTAGTTAGTTAGTTAGTAGTTAGTAGTTAGTTAGTTAGTTAGTTAGTTAGTTAGTTAGTTAGTTAGTTAGTTAGTTAGTTAGTGTTAGTTAGTTAGTTAGTTAGTTAGTTAGTTAGTTAGTTAGTTAGTTAGTTAGTTAGTTAGTTAGTTAGTTAGTTAGTTAGTTAGTTAGTTAGTTAGTTAGTTAGTAGTTAGTTAGTTAGTTAGTTAGTTAGTTAGTAGTTAGTTAGTTAGTTAGTTAGTTTAGTTAGTTTAGTTAGTTAGTTAGTTAGTTAGTTAGTTAGTTAGTTAGTTAGTTAGTTAGTTAGTTAGTTAGTTAGTTAGTTAGTTAGTTAGTTAGTTAGTTAGTTAGTTAGTTAGTTAGTTAGTTAGTAGTTAGTTAGTTAGTTAGTTAGTTAGTTAGTTAGTTAGTTAGTTAGTTAGTTAGTTAGTTAGTTAGTTAGTTAGTTAGTTAGTTAGTTAGTAGTTAGTTAGTTAGTTAGTTAGTAGTTAGTTAGTTAGTTAGTTAGTTAGTTAGTTAGTTAGTTAGTTAGTTAGTTAGTTAGTAGTTAGTTAGTTAGAAAGGAGGTTGTATTTATATAAATATACATACGTACATCCGGAAACCCAGCGATTTTGAGTTGGAAGATGACCTCGGAATAAACGGAATTGGAAGATGATCAATCATATAGGATTCTTTTCTTTACATCTAAATCGTAGATAATCTTGTGTAGATAATCTTTGTGTAATGATTTCCAACTTTGCATTGATTCCGATTTTGGAGGGCTGTAGTCATCGAGTTGAATCGCTAAGTACCTTCAATACGTGACCAATAGCCATCTTTGCGTTGATTCAGATTTCGCAAACATTTGAGAATACCAAGGTATTCTGACGATCTTAACCAGTTGACAAGAGATGCGTACGAGTTCATCAGTTAACAAATATAAACTTTCCTTGATAGCATTTAATCATCTAGTTGAAAAGATCACAGGAATTCGAACAAAATCAAAGATTCCAAGAAACATTTTTTAATTGAAGAATGCCTATAGTTTTCGATCATTTGGATACACTTTACCAACAAATACAGTACGATCTCCTTAAATAATAAGGAGCTCATGTTCTACAATTGATCGTTTTAAATCGATCGAATGCTAACATGGCTTTTGACTTATTTAGACCTTGATATTTGCCTATGTCTGGGCTAACTGGAATAAATTAGCCCTTCTGTATGTTTGAAGAGATTTCCTTTTGTAAGATCTTCAACCTTCTGACTTTCTATGTTAATTTCTTTGTTCATATCATTTTTAATCTCAAAACATAGTCAGATGATTCCGTCGTGTTAAAAAATCTGTCCAATTTGTAGAACTTGAGGAAGTTATTATAATGTTAAACTTGTAAACAGTTTAAGAACTTTTCAAGTACCTTCTTCCCATCGGTCTTAGCACATTAGTAAGACGAAGTAATGTACATCCCAATCATTCGATACTTAAGCCCTATTACTGCATCTGAGGATTCAGATGCTACTTTCTAGGAATTTAACTAAAATTTCAACTAGTCCAGTTTTGGAACTTTTAGAAATTATTTAATAAATCCAACACATAGGCGTAAGTTTTTTATAAAAAAGTTTAAATTTATTTTAGAATACATTCAATAAATATTTTAGTAGGAAATAATAATTTTATCTCCTGAAATCTTAAGTCCTAATATCTGTGACATCGGTATCGCATTTTTCGCCATTTACGACAATACTTACGATAACAACGACGCATTGTAGGATAGATGGTATATGGAGGATGATAGGTGCTAGAAGCGTAAGGAGGATAGGTAGGCGGTAAGGTTGGGGGTTGAGTTGGTGGTTGTGTAGGTGGTTGTGTAGGTGGTAAAGTCGGCGGTTGTATTGGTGGCAAAGTCGGAGGTTGTATTGGTGGCAAAGTCGGAGGTTGTGTTGGTGGCAAAGTCGGTGGTTCTATGGGAGGAAGAGTTGGTGGTTGAGTAGGTGGGAGAGTTGGTGGTTGTGTAGGAGGTAAAGTTGGTGGTTTCGTAGGAGGTAATGTTGGAGGTAGAGTGGGTGGTAAAGTTGGAGGTTGAGTAGGTGGAGGTAATGTTGGAGGTTGTGTGGGTGGTAAAGTTGGAGGTTGAGTAGGTGGTTGTGTTGGTGGTAAAGTTGGAGGTTGAGTAGGCGGTTGTGTTGGGGGTTGAGTGGGTGGTAATGTTGGTGGTAAAGTGGGTGGAAGAGTTGGAGATTGTGTGGGTGGTAAAGTTGGAGGTTGAGTAGGTGGTTGTATAGGAGGTAATGTTGGAGGTAGAGTAGGCGGTTGTGTGGGAGGTAATGTTGGGGGTAGAGTAGGCGGTTGTGTTGGAGGTAATGTTGGGGGTTGAGTAGGTGGTAGCGTAGGTGGAAGAGTTGGAGGTTGTGTGGGTGGTAAAGTTGGAGGTTGAGTAGGCGGTTGTGTTGGTGGTAAAGTTGGAGGTTGAGTAGGCGGTTGTGTTGGGGGTTTAGTGGGTGGTAAAGTTGGAGGTTGAGTAGGTGGTTGTGTTGGTGGTAAAGTTGGAGGTTGAGTAGGAGGTTGTGTGGGAGGTAATGTTGGAGGTTGAGTGGGTGGAAGTGTTGGTGGCTTTGTCGGAGGCATTGTGGGAGGAAGAGTAGGTGGTACAGTTGGTGGAAGTGTTGGAGGCTGTGTGGGCGGTAAAGTTGGTGGGAGAGTCGGTGGTTGTGTGGGAGGTAAAGTCGGAGGTTGAGTAGACGGTAGAGTTGGTGGAAGGGTTGGTGGAACAGTTGGTGGTAATGTAGGAGGGCCCGTGGGCGGTAAAATAGGCTGTTCTGTTGTAGCTTCAGTTGGAGGCATCTTCGTGGTTGTCTTCCTTCCCTTACATCTTATCCTTTGCAAAAGATTTGTCGCTACATTAGCATCAACTATAAGCTGTCCACCCACTTTGGCCAAAGTACTGATCGTATTATTTTCACCGATTTGCGTTACATCCGATTTTTCTAAAAACAAAAACTAGACAGTCAAAATCCAACTACCAATTAACAAAACTACTTACGTTCTTGTATAATAATATCATCGCCTTCTTCAACACATTCCTCATCGGTCAACTCCTTGCCAGCAACCAAACCGGTAACTTGTTTAACAATTTCTCCTAAACGTAATTTAACCACACCCTGGGTATTCACCACAGCACCACGAATAACTTCATTATTATCACCCACCATGACCACGGAATTATCGGCTGTAAGATCAAAGTTTTAATTAACAAAAGTCGAAGTGTTCTTCCATAAAAAATACCCACAAACTTGCTTGGTTATATCCTTATGTTTAGCCGAACCAGATCCACTAGTTTTCTGATCTGTTAGTTCTGCTAAACCAAGATCTACTATTAAATTAGGATTTATATCCAAAAGTTGTATAACTTTCGTATTACTGCCATTAATGGAAACTTTATTGGTACCTAAGGAAATTATAAAAGTAAATATGAATCGGGTTTTTATATAGAAGGAAAAGAAAACCTACTTTCTTGGGTATTTAATATCGCATTCAAAATGCCACCCTTTTCATCTTCCTGGCTACCTGTGGACTGCTCATTTTTGTTTAACAATTTCACCAGAATCTGAGCCTGAGGCGTTATTTTGCCCAATTGTAGTTTGGTTATATTGGATCCAGTTATATTGGTATCGGTATTGACTATGGAAAATCAATTCAATTAACTTTTTTCCTAATTCCTGTTGATAACCATGAAACTAAACTTACGTTTTTGAGCATTTAAGTCCACATTTTCTATGCCCCCTCTACTAGTTTGTTGCAAATTTTTGGTTAAACCAGTTATGCCTAGTAAAGCTTGAGGAGCCACTAATAAGCCATCAGTTTTGTGTATATCTGAACCCTCTAAAGTATCACTTAAATCAGCTGCAATAAAAGATTTTATATAATGAAATTCTGAATTCCAAAAATATATAGGAAAAAGTCACCATTTTGTATATTAGCTTTGAGATTTTTAATGCCACCACTTTCCGAGCCCAAAATTCTATTAAGGATACCTAAATAATTGGATAAAATTTCTAATTATTGAAAAAACTTATAATTTTTTGACCATTTTACCTTCTTTTTCTCCACCTGTTATAACTTGTTTATTCCCTGCCAGTAGATCTATGGGTGCTGACGCCAAAGCTCCAAGTTTTAATAAACTTGATTTTTTTAAATCTTTGCCTTTTAAGTTTGAACTTTGATCAACTGGAAACAAAAATCAAAAACCAAAAAAAAAAACGAATTAATTTCAAGCATATAACTTAAATGCTTAAAGCTTTCAAAAAGCTCAATTTAAAAGCTTACTTTTTGAAACAAAACATTAAGAATCTATCAATTTAACATAGAAATTAAAAACAAATTAATGAACAAAAGATCGAAAAAAGCTTTCAGAAAGCTTACTAAAAAGCTTTTACTTTTAAAGAAGTAATTAGAGGAAATGATTAATTTAATATTCTGTATTTTAAGCTTTCTAAACAATAGCTCATCGAAAAGCTGTTAATAATATGTATATTTAAATATTTTTAGCTTTTCTTAAGTTTATCTAAAACTCACCTTTCTGCTGATTTACATTAATGTTACTAATATCACCCTCAGAACCCTCAATTGTCTGAACATTCTGCGTCAAGGCATTAATGGGTGCTCTGACTCCCACCGAGCCCTGTAACAAATTTGCCTCTCGATTATCCGCACCTTGTATATTAGAGCTTTGATCAACTATTAAGAAAGAAATAAAAAGCTTTACAACTCGTTTTACTCTTTTCTACCAAAAAGAAACTTACACAACTGATTATTTATATCAACATTATCAATATTCCCACTCTCTCCATTTGCAACAGTTTGGACGTTTTTCCGTAAAACATTGATAGGAGCGGAAGCAGCTATCGGAAGCTGCACGCCACTAAGCTTTTGATTGTTGCTGCCCAATAAATCGGCGCTTTGGTCCACTGAAATGAAAGTATATTGCAGTAATTTTATGATTTAGAAAATTTTCTTTCTTACCTATCTGTGCATTTATTCTGGTATTATTTATACCTCCTGGACCTTCTGCTATTTGGATATTTTGTGTCAGAGCTTTTATGGGAGCACTAGCTTGTACTGCAACTTGGGCCAAGTTAAATTTAGAGTTATCGCTGCCAACTAAAGTGCCAGATTGATCGACTTAGAGAAAATATAAATAATTAGAACTTGACTAGTATTGAGCTAGAACTGAACTAGAACTGAACTAGAACTGAACTAGAACTGAACTAGAACTGAACTAGAACTGAACTAGAACTGAACTAGAACTGAACTAGAACTGAACTTGAACTGAACTAGAACAGAACTAGAACTGAACTAGAACTGAACTAGAACTGAACTAGAACTGAACTAGAACTGAACTAGAACTGAACTAGAACTGAACTAGAACTGAACTTGAACTGAACTTGAACAGAACTAGAACTGAACTAGAACTGAACTAGAATGAACTAGAACAGGAACTAGAACAGAACTAGAACAGAACTAGAACAGAACTAGAACAGAACTAGAACAGAATTAGAACAGAACTAGAACAGAACTAGAACAGAACTAGAACAGAACTAGAACAGAACTAGAACAGAACTAGAAACAGAACTAGAAACAGAACTAGAACAGAACTAGAACAGAACTAGAACAGAACTAGAACAGAACTAGAACAGAACTAGAACAGAACTAGAACAGAACTAGAAACAGAACTAGAACAGAACTAGAACAGAACTAGAACAGAACTAGAACAGAACTAGAACAGAACTAGAACAGAACTAGAACAGAACTAGAACAGAACTGGAACAGAACTAGAACAGAACTAGAACAAGAACAGAACTAGAACAGAACTAGAACAGAACTAGAACAGAACTAGAACAGAACTAGAACAGAACTAGAACAGAACTAGAACAGAACTAGAACAGAACTAGAACAGAACTAGAACAGAACTAGAACAGAACTAGAACAGAACTAGAACAGAACTAGAACAGAACTAGAACAGAACTAGAACAGAACTAGAACAGAACTAGAACAGAACTAGAACAGAACTAGAACAGAACTAGAACAGAACTAGAACAGAACTAGAACAGAACTAGAACAGAACTAGCACAGAACTAGCATAGAACTAGAACAGAACTAAACAGAACTAGAACAGAACTAGAAGAGAACTAGAACAGAACTAGAACAGAACTAGAACAGAACTAGAACAGAACTAGAACAGAACTAGAACAGAACTAGAACAGAACTAGAACAGAACTAGAACAGAACTAGAACAGAACTAGAACAGAACTAGAACAGAACTAGAACAGAACTAGAACAGAACTAGAACAGAACAGAACTAGAACAGAACTAGAACAGAACTAGAACAGAACTAGAACAGAAATAGAACAAAACCGGAACTAGAACTAAACTGTTACTGAACTAAGACTAAAACTGAATTAGAAGAACCAAGTTTACATACCGAATTGTTCATTTGCCTGCAAATTTTGTATGCCACCCACTCCTTTGCTTATTTGTAGATTGTTGGTGAGAACATCTATGGGAGCATTGACCCCAGCAACAACCTGAAGCAAATCGGATTCCTCATGCTGAGCGCCAATCAATCTGCCAGCTTGATCGACTAAGAAAACATTAAGACATTTTCACAAAATATTCCAGAATTTTTTCGAAAAAGTTTTAAAGAAGCTTAAAGCTTTTCTTATCCGCAGTTGGTATAGATTTGTTTACCTTTTTGCACATTCGTTTTCACATTTTCTATACCCCCAGGCCCTTCGGCTATTTGAGTATTGTGATCTATAAGCTTTATTGGAGCATTTGCTTGTATTGGTACCTGAGCAAGGCCAGTTTTATGATGACCAATACCAATTAGATCCGCTGACTGATCAACTGCAAAGTTAAAACATTTTATGGTTATTATTTTTGATACATTAAGCAATTTAACCTACATATTTGTTGGTTACTCTCCAAATTTTGAATACGTCCGGGTCCTTCACCTATCTGCAAATTATTACTTAGTAAATCTAACGGCAAATTAACACCAGCTGGTATGATAATGCCTAGTGAGTCTTCCTCAAATTCACCAATCAATTCAGAACGTTGATCAACTGTAATGAAATAATGTATAAAGCCGGACTTTTATGCAAATCAAGGTACAAATTATTAAAACTCACCCAGTTGTAGGTTATCCTTTTTATTAACTACACCCCTCGTAGCATCATTTACCGGTGGCAAACTGGGTCCACCTAATAAACTTCCAAGCAAACCACCGCTATTAAGTAAAAGTTGTGGTTTAGCCGAAACCTTTAAAATCATTAAAATTACTAGGCTTAATCTCAACAACACCTTCCACATATCGAACTTCTTTTAACTTTTTTATACAAAAATTTATTTATTTTTCTTTATACAGTTACAGTCGATTGGTTTAAACATTTTAATAACTTTTTTAATGCATCGGTTCACTTGTTAGCGAAAACTAATCCAAGTTTTATTAATTGTTGTTAATTTATAAACAATTTGCATGGCATTTATAAATTTGTGCAATCTCACATTTTGCCTCTTTTAAATCTGCAGATTGCAAGTGGGAAATAAAGAATTATTATAATAGGCAGTAGATAATTTCTTCTAGAGACGTGGTTTTTAGTAAATTCAACTGATGTCTGTATTACTCTTAGATAAAGATCTTAGCTAAATTTAATTTATTTTATACTAATTTGATTTTTTAAAAATCTAAAACTGCCTTTGATCTCAGCAATGAACTAGAGCAGAATCAGAACAGAACTAGAACAAAACAGAACAGAACTAGAACAGAACTAGAACAGAACAGAACTAGAACAGAACTAGAACAGAACTAGAACAAAACTAGAACAGAACTAGAACAGAACTAGAACAGAACTAGAACAGAACTAGAACAGAACTAGAACAGAACTAGAACAGAACTAGAACAGAACTAGAACAGAACTAGAACAGAACTAGAACAGAACTAGAACAGAACTAGAACAGAACTAGAACAGAACTAGAACAGAACTAGAACAGAACTAGAACAGAACTAGAACAGAACTAGAACAGAACTAGAACAGAACTAGAACAGAACTAGAACAGAACTAGCATAGAACTAGAACAGAACTAGAACAGAACTAGAACAGAACTAGAACAGAACTAGAACAGAACTAGAACAGAACTAGAACAGAACTAGAACAGAACTAGAACAGAACTAGAACAGAACACTAGAACAGAACTAGAACAGAACTAGAACAGAACTAGAACAGAACTAGAACAGAACTAGAACAGAACTAGAACAGAACTAGAACAGAACTAGAACAGAACTAGAACAGAACTAGAACAGAACTAGAACAGAACTAGAACAGAACTAGAACAGAACTAGAACAGAACTAGAACAGAACTAGAACAGAACTAGAACAGAACTAGAACAGAACTAGAACAGAACTAGAACAGAACTAGAACAGAACTAGAACAGAACTAGAACAGAACTAGAACAGAACTAAAACAGAACTAGAACAGAACTAGAACAGAACTAGAACAGAACTAGAACAGAACTAGAACACAACTAGAACACAACTAGAACACAACTAGAACACAACTAGAACACAACTAGAACACAACTAGAACACAACTAGAACACAACTAGAACACAACTAGAACACAACTAGAACACAACTAGAACAGTACTAGAACAGAACAGAACTGAACTAGAACAGAGCTGCTTAAAAAATAAGTAAAAATAACACTTATTATTTAAATTCCATGTAGGAATTACAATTTTCGAACAGCAAACTGCATTACCTTATTACTCATTAATGAAGGTCATTGAAAAATATTAACACTTTCTTGATGAAAGTTTAACTCACGCGACCGGATATAGATCATAACCCAACAAACATGGTTTCCGGTTGGCTGGGAAAATACATTTTACGGAAATTTATTTTACTCTATTAAGCTACACACGCAATTTTTTTATTAAAAACTTTCTTATCTTTCCAAAATGACATAATTATACCAATAAAAACAAGTTCTCAAAAAAGTATAATTGCTAAAGCACGTACAATTTTTCACTTTTGTACTACTCCATCAAAAACCACAAAAAACGCACTAGTAGACAATTAAACATTGTGTATAAACAACCATTTAAATAGCTTTTAAACAAATTAATTCATTCATATAAATTTCAGAAAACCATAAACAACATCATCAGTTTTTCGAACATTACACCGCACACACAACATACGTCACATCAACAATTTCATTCACAAAATAAAAAAATAAAAAATTGGCGCAAAAAAACGAAGAAGATATTACAAGAGTGAAAATAACATGAATCAATTTAAAACTTTCGTATTATTGTCCATGGCCATGGTGTGTCATTCATTTCCATTAGTCGAAAACTACAATGAATATACACATCCGTATAGTAGAAGTTTTAAAAATTCCACTGTAGTTTTGTATGACAAGGATGTGGAAGTTTTGAAAACATTCATGGGTTTAGTAAATCAATTGATGGAGAAAAAAATAGCGGATCAGAAAGGGAATAGTATACGTAATAATACGGTGGAGGCTAGTATACAAGAGGAGGATGATGACGTCACTACAACCACTGCGAGAAGTTTAGAATCTTCTGTAGATAGTTCGACACTTTCTCCTTTTGTCAAGCTGATGTTAAAAGTGGACTACTTTCGAATACTAAAGATTCGCGAAGCGTACCAGAGTTAGAGTTCGAAACGAATCCATTGTCGGCTGATTCTAAGAAGAATTTATTTTCTCACAGTACTGATGATAACTCTTCTGAGAAAACTACGGAACCTACTAAAGGTGCCCTCATTCCTAACTCTAATCACAACAACTATCGTCGATCATCTCCAGAATCCAACGAAAACTTATCTTCTTCCAACAAAGTTAAAGATTCACAGCAGCAAGCCTCCGATTTCAGAGAACAATCATTTCCCAACAATCAAGTGCTTCCTAAAGAAAAGCGACAATCGCTTTCATCTAATAATGAAAGAGAACATCAGATACAACAGTTTTCCAAATTTCAAAGTACATCCTTTCCTTCCAACAATATCGACAGCATAACAAAATCTTCAGTTAGCAAAGAAGCATCACATTCCTCCAAAAACTTTGGCAATTCTTTACAAAATCCTTCAGTTTCCAAACCTTTGTTTCCAACTTATGATGGAAAATCAATCACCAGTCAGCAATCATCTGGAGTTATAGATCCTTTATTTCCTTTAGAAAATGGACAATTTCCTTCACACCCTAAAGGATCAATCGCAACATCCATTAGCGCAACAGAAAAGTCTGCACAACATCTTCTTGAGGCCCAAGAAAGATTACTTACTTCCAACAATGCCGGAAATACTGGACAGCATGGCAAAAATACACCATTTCCCCTCAACTATGGTAAACAATTTCGTCAGCAAACTTCCTTTGCGTCTTATAATGGAAACGCAACTCCCAGTCAGCAATCAGCTGGTGTTATAGATCCTTTATTTTCTTTAGACAATGGGCAGTTCACTTCACATACCGGAGGACCATCTTTGCCATCCAATAGCGCAAAAGAAAATACTCCACAACATCTTCTTGATGTCCAAGGAAGATTACTTCCTTACAACAGTGGCGGAAATACTGGAGAGGATGGCACAAATCTGCCATTTTCTTTCAACAATGGCGAACAATTTCGTCAGCAAACTTCGTTTCCATCATATAATGGAAAAGCAACTCCCAGTCAGCAACCATCTGGTGTTAGAGATCCTGCATTTCCTTCAGAAAATGGACAATTCTCTTTACATACCAGAGAAACATCCATACCGTTCATCGGCCCAACAGAAAAGCATCCACAACAAATTCTTCATGACCAAGGAAGACTACTTATTTCCAACAATGAAGGAAATAATGGACAACAAGGCAGAAAGCTGTCATTTCCACCCAACAATGGCGAACATTTCTGTCAGCAAACTGCCAATGCTATACTGAGATCAAATGAAAATGCTTTCGATGTCAGAGAAAGATTGGGGGTCCTTTATAAAGATCGACTCTCTCATGAAACAAATAACAATGACGTTGGCTTATTGTCCCAGCCTTTAAATAATCTATTTGAAGCTAGTGGAAGATCATTTCCTCTTCACCAACATCTAGACACCATAAGACAACCATTTAATTCTGAAAGCAGCGGCAATTTCTTATTAAAAAAACAGGAATTTGAAGCACAATCCTTTCCATCTTACAACAAAAAGAAAATTCCTGGTCAGCCAACTTCAGATCATGAAGTTTTATCAAACAATGGAGAAAAATTTCGTCAACAAACTTCCGATGCTAGAATTGGATCATTAATATCCGAAAACAATAGCATAGATAAAGAAATGTCGGATATCGGAGAAAGATTTACAGGCCTTTATAAGAGAGAAAATTATCGAGAAAATCTATTAAATTATAGAGATCAACTTCATCAAAAAACCTTAGATATCGGTGGCTCATTCATAAGTTCTTTCAACAGCAAAATCCCATCGCAAACTGTCCCATTTGCACATCCCACTAGAACTTCCACTTCTAACAAACCACCACCTCTCTTAAGTCCCTTGATGAAAGAACTTTTAAGAAAACGTCTGCTTAATCATAATATTAATCTCGATGATATTCCTGAAGATCATATAAACCAATCTTTAGCAGCGGTTATACAACCCCACAAGAACGAGGTTAACTCTTTAAAATCCGCAGATGATCTAAAAGGAAATTTCCAATTTCAAACAGCAAAAACTTCTGAACAGCGATCAGATTCAAGAGCTGGTATGCAAACTTTTCCTAGTGAGATTTCCCCTCATTTCAATTCCGTGCAAACCCCTAATCAACAGCAAAAAACTTTTGAAAACTCGTTGGGAAATCATTTGAACTTGCCTCCATTATTGAGTCCTCAAAATCCTGTTGATATTCAAGTGAAATCTCCGCTGCCTAGGAAAGATGACAATCAGAGATCGCACATACAATACTCCTCTAGTTCTGCCCTAACAGTACCTCCTTATATACGTGATATCATAACGAATCATTTAAATTCTAGAAACAAAGATATTGAAAATGAACCAAAACGGGAATTTGATGATCAACCGAAAGAACCAAGCTCTAACGATCAACTTAACTCAAAGAAATCTAGTGAAAGTTCGCAACCAGAGAACACTACAAAAACCACAACTACAACCTCCAATCATGCCCGGATTTCGTACACGAGCCACGCCCCTCTTACTTCACCGGTTTCTGTTTCCAGTACAACCAGCAGTTCTGCTTCCTCACTGCCAGATTTCATCAAACAAATTTTGAAAAGTGGAGAGATTTCCAGTAGCAATTCTACTAAAGAAAGTCTAGATGTTTCTCAAAACCTCTCCTCTAACAGGTCTTTAAATATTCCAACCTCAACTATATCAACCACCAAAACCTCAACCTCCCTGGAACAATCTTCTTTATCAGAACCAGCCACATTATCGCCTTTAATGAAACAACTCCTAAGAAGCAGCAGAGATTCCAATGACGAGAAACCTGAAGAGATACCAGTTTTAGATTTTAGTAAGAAATCTTTAGCGGAACTCAAGAATGAGTTGTTCAGTAATTCCACGAACACAAATACTATACATAAAGAAGTTTCTCTAGCATCTAAGAAACGTTTG